TCTTAATCAGGATATTAATAAGGAACTAGCAGTTTATGAAGCTTTTGGAATAATCCACCAATTTTTTAAAATTAAACACTATCTAAAGATTTGCATCGAAGCGTTTTTTTTTGATAGTGATTTTAATCACTGTCAGATATCATTATACTTGATCCAACTATGCCACGTCACCACTGTGCCGCGACCCCCCTGTGCTGGGTTTTTTTTTCTATCATATTATCAAATCAAAAATAGTGGTTCCCATTTAAAAAAATTAAAAATAAACATTTTTATCCCCGAAGGGATAAAAAAAATATTATTTAACTTCATATTATTGTAGAGTTTTATAAACTTAATAATTTTTCTTTTTATAAAAATTTGAAATTCTCAATAGTTTCTGAGAAAATAAGTGTCTTACCAGATTTCGATCACTCTGTATTTTATGATAACGAGTGCACGCGATAGCTACAACTATAAAATTATCAAGACCGCCGTGACGACGGCCGTGATGAACCTCGATGTGTTTAAGGTATATCGCCGAAAATGAGTGAACTATATTAAACATAATTGGGGCACTTTGAGTTAATTATTCTAGGAAACGACTAAAAATAAAATTAGATATCAGAGCGCGGAAAAACACATGCGTACCAGATAACCGCTATCGCAGAACTAACAATGTGCTTAAAAAAATATATATATCTTTTTAAATATTTGCTTATAAATATTATGAAAATGTCATAACTTTATTTTAATAATAATAGTTAAGAGATTTTTTAAGATTCAATTAAATCATTATACAAACATTCAAATTTTGTATTTGATATTGATGATTAAACTAATTTAATTGTGTTCATATTAAAAATTCAATTAGAAAAATAATTTTATAGATATAACATAACCCAATTCTTGTTGACTTATGTTTTGATTTATAATACAATCACCTACCTATGTCATGTATTTCTAATAGAGAAGTTTTGTCAGTAGCAAAATCATATTGAAATCCAAATTTCAAATATTTTTCTAGAATAAAATTTTCTATTTTTTCATAAATTTCATTTTTAAGAAGTTCAAGTAAATTAGACTCTGTTTTATGAATACCATAATTATATTCATTAATCCATTTGTTCCAATCTAAATCCAATTTCAAACTGCAATACTTTTCAGCATTTAAATCTAGGTGTCCTCTTATTTTATGATGAAAATTTGCAAGAGCCACTAATTTACTGTTACTAAAGTTATTTTGTGTACAATCAGTGACTTTGTAATTATCTTTTAAAAAGGACCAATATTCTAAATTTATGTAAGTTTGTAAATAGTCAATTACAGAAGTTAAAATGCAAATGTTCTTCTTATTCTCTTTTCGTGGTATTCTATGAAAACTCTCTAGATAATCTATAGCACTTTTCATCATTGATAACATAAGCTTGATGGAAGGTACAATATTTAAAATATCAACAACACATTCAGGTACTTTACTTGAATCTTGTTTCAAAATATTTACACATTGATTTCTGAAATATTCCATCAAATTGAGAATAGTATATAAAAAATTTGTAGTAGCACAATCTAGAAATATCGTTGCAATTCGTATACGTGTATCCAAATATTTTAGTTTACCCTCTCCCAACATATCTATTAGGTAGTAATTTTTACTCCAATATTTAACATATTCCACATCATTAAAACTATTCCAATGGACATTACTGAGAATATTTTTAATTATTCCAAATTTAGAAGATTTATTTTGTCTTGTTTCTAATAACGAAATTGAGTGGAAAATCAATAAACATAATAAGAAATTAAAAGAGTTTAACATTATAAGATAATTAGTAATTACTTTAACTAAATAACTTGTTTAAATGAATCTCATAGAATTATGATTATGTTTTATATAGAAGTGCAGCTTTATAAAGTTATTTACAAAGGAACATAATTCATATAACAGGTGTTAATATTATAAATAAACACTATGATTGTTTTTGAATTTTTTTTTTCATAACAGTTTTTGGTAATTGAACATTTTATCGAAATTATTATTGTTAGGGCGAGTAACTGTAAATTATATGCCGCTTACCCTGGCACCTGTAACTCTAACTTAGGATTAAGTGAACTGTATATAAGTATAGAAACGTTTGCTCACACATACTTACTTGAAGCCTATAAGAGTCAAGAAGGTGTATGAGACCAGTAACTACTGGTAAAAATTGAAAATCACAAATCACAAATGTATATTTAAATAAAGCAAATCAATTATATGGATATGAACATATAAAATCATCTATTATAAATAGTTTAAAACTCAATAACAATAGATTATAATAATTAATATATGAAGAATGACAAATGCGATGTAAAATATTTATAGAATGACTATTTATTAAGTAATCCACAACATTCTTCATTATTGCTAACATAAGCTTAATGTAAGATAAAATGTTTAAAAGATCAACAACGCATTCATATACTTTATTTGAATCGTGTTTCGAAATATTAACACATTGATTTCTAAAATATTCAATAAAATTGAGAATAAAATATAAAAAATTTGCAGTAGCATAATCTAGAAATATCGTTGCGATTCATATACGTATATCCAAATTATTTACATTTACTTTACCTTTTCCAACATATCTATTATTTGTAATTTTTTTTTTCAGATATTTAAAATACTCCACATAATTAAAACTATTCCAATGGATATTTTTCGGAATTATTTTAATTATTATGATTTTACAGTAATTTTTTTTTCTAGAATCGATTGTTCGATTAAGTCTCAAAGAATCTAACAATGCTAAGAATTGAGAACTACGGAGAGATAGCAATGATAAGAAAGAGACAAAAGGAAGTGTATATTGCAGCAATAGAACTGAACGGGTTCTGAAGATGAAAAAAAATTAATTATTAAAACCGAAGTACAAAACTTAACATATATATAAAATACTCAATTATTAAGATTTAGAATTATTATAAAATTACTTAATTTTTCTTACTTTTAAATATAATATAACTCAAAATTAAATTTTTACAAAAGTATATTCTAACATGCGTTGAATTCATATTACCAAATTGTTTATTAGCCGATAAAATAATTAATTTTTTAAACACGTGTAATATTCGTGTTATTGCATAAATAAATTAATATTAATTTAAAAAATATTCCAAATAAAACATTATAAACGATATTTTTCAAAAATTTATTTAGTATTATACTTAAGTAATTTTAAGCTAGAAAGTCTAAATGACTAACCAGTGATGACGCTGAATGGACAACTGTGGCATTTAATGCAATAATACTTTTACACTATATTTAAAATATGTTTTATGTTATTTTTTGCAAACACAAAAAGTAATAATTTTTTATTAACATTTTTTTTTAAGATTTGAAGATAACTTTTTTACTTGTTTTATAATTAGTAATAATCTCAAAAAGAGGTGATAGAAAAAATGAAAATTTCAAATTTGAAATCTGCCTAAAAATTTGATTTAGCAAAGTATATATTGGTCTATTATCATTAAAAAATTTTTTATTTTAATGATATTCTTTTACTTTGTAATTCATTATAAAAATAAATTATTTACATCTATTATCTGTGGAGATAATTAATTAAAAAAAGTTTTAAAAAAATAATATTATAGAATGGTAGTAAAACAAACAAATTGAATTAACAAATAAAAGTCATTTCAACGAGTTGGGTATATATTTATGATAAAAAGACAATTCAATATAGTTTAAAAGTTACAAGTCATTTTTCTTATTAAATAAAATTTATGTCCAATGTAAGTTCTGTTCATGTAACCTTTATAATAATCAAGACACACTTTTGAAAAGTATTTTATAAAACATAATAAAAAAATGTGAACACAAAAATAGTGTTTTTCTTAATTGCCATAGGCATTTGCACATAGAAAATAGGTCATCGTACAAAATTTTTTTTTTTAAATTTTAGTATGTAATATAAGCGTTTTTTTAACTTATCAATAAATTTCCTGATAGTTTTTAAAAATCAAGTTGTAAAAGTTCACTTTTCTGAAAAGTTTCTGTTTTGAATCCCTCTATGGACAAGTAAAAGATCAGATTTTCAAAAAAATGATATCAGATGAAATCAAAATATTAAGATATTAAGGAATTAAAAAAAAATAAATTATATTTAAAAAAAAAACAAAATCGAAATATTAACTAGTTGAATTAAATTGAATAACCACAGTAAATTAATTTGAACAATTAAGATTCAATAAAAATAACTAATTTAATCACTTAATTATAAAAACAGAATTAAACTGACACATTTTACCATGTTTATGCCTCACTACTAAATAATAATACTTATTCTAATTAATTTATCAATCAATTATTAATCGCCCAGAGGTGTTTTAATTATCTGTTCGTATACAAACAGTAACACTTTAACTAAAATTTATCAATCAAAACTATTGAATTCGCCTTTTGGTGTTTGCCACTAAAAAAGAAAAAAGAAAACACTATGACTTAAGCTGGGCCCATCCAATTTTACTACATTAACCACGCTCTGCTACTAAAATATTCGCCACCAGGCTTCTACTAAAGCGATTGACCCGTATGACTAATAATAACAATAACATTGGATTTCACTGATAGATTTCTAACCATAAAAAAAAGTAAGAAGATTACCATTTATTTAATTAATACGTTTTTTAAATAATATAATTTTCAAATGTATAAATTCATATTTAAATTTAATCGGACGTCCGCAAAATACAAATGTAATGACATTGAGCAATAAAATAATTTTACATACTCCAACCAAATCAATACATGGATTTGACGATTACACGGAGTACAGCCTCCAGCTTGATTAACAAAGTAATCACGGACTAAGTTATGCGTTCTTGTAAAGATGTTATATGAGATAACTGTTCTTAGCAATTGACAGTTGAAAGATTCGCAACGAAGTGGCGATGAGCCGGACAACAACACAAAAAAATAAATCATTGTTTTGTCACTGGCCACGAGTTAGCAAAAATTCCACGGACCAACACAAAACGTGCGTACTACTATCAACACCATCTGATCTCTATCGTCAGTCCACGGCAATTTTGTCCAACACGTCAGGCAGCTGGACGGACATACCGATCGGTTTACTCCCACCGTAAACTTGTAGAGTATTCTAAATATTCGTCCCAGGTGAGGAGATCAGCTGACTGCGTGTTGATATGCAACTTGTTCAAACATACTCCCCTAGAGGACGGGGCGTCTTCTAACTGGAACCGCTCTTGACAGAGGAGTCGCCTTTTCGGAGGCTTTGGTTAGGTTAACAATGATTTAGTATTATTTTGAATAACTTTATGACGATTAATACAGAAGAAACACAACAAAAATGGTAACCTAGTAACAGGAATTTAAATTAAACGTTATAGGAAATGGTATCTTTATTCCAAGGAAAAGGAACTTCGATGAGCTTAACATGAATTATACAGTGCGTATTAATACAACCACCGGGTATCAACTCCTTTATCATGATACCCCAAATATACAATGAATAAATAATTAAAAAAAACAAAAAATCAGCAATAATCATAGAACAGAGGTGTCAACACAATACTAAGTTGATTTTTTACTAAGAGTTGGTTGCTTAATAAAAATGTAAGATGACCAAACATAAGAATCAAGAGGTAAATTCTGAACTTTTGGCAGACCGCACCGCAGCTTCATATAAGACACCGAAGTGAGGAGCGCCTGATGAATTGAAGTGCCACGTACATGCTAAATGTGAAGCAATTCGAAACCGATTGTCAGGGTCATTAATTATGTTTGCAAGTTGTTTGGACGCGTTGACAAAGTTGGTTCCATTATCGGAATATAACACCTGAGGTGAACCTCGTCTAGCAACAAACCTATCAAGAGCGGTCAAAAAAGCGTCCGTAGTCAAATCTAATACAATTTCCAGGTGACCGCCTTTACCGACATACACACAAAGATGGCAATGTATACCTTATACACTCGAGCCTTACGTAATCGACACTCTCTCATCTGTAAAGGTCCCGCATAGTCTATTCGCACATGACTAAATAGGCGACACGCTTGAAATCGTGAAGTTGGAAGATCGGCCATAACGGAAAATGGTACCTGAGCTATGATTCTGACACATTTAGTGCATGAATTATATTCCGAATATAACAAAATTTTTTTTGGAAATTGCCATCATTTATAAGGAACGAGGAAAATTTGTTTCATTTTTAAAGAAAAAAAACTTCAACTAATTACGATTTATGATATTTTGATGTACCTTTGATAGAAATCGATTCGGTGAACGCTTACAAAAAGTGATGACTGACTTAAAAAAGAGTCATAGTAAAATTAATATTTTCTCTGCTTCGCAATGTAGCTAAAACTTAACATGACGATAAACTTTTTTCCCGACAATTTAACTAAAGTAAATTTGTTCTTTGACACCAAATGGTAGCACAGTGGGAACGTGGCATAGTTGGGTCCAGTATAAATTTAATCTGACAATAATTAAAACCACTATCATAAAAAAACGCTTCGGTAGAAATCTGTATATAGTGTTTAATTTTAAAAAATTGATGGATTATTTATTCCAAAAGCATTATGATCTTCTATTTCCTTATTTATATTTTAATTACAAGTTTTATGATTTATAAGTGTAATATATTAATAATTATTTATTACAGCAATTAAATATAGTATGAAATTAATATTTAATAATTTAGTAATTTTTACGAAAAAATTATAAAGTAGTTATTACTTTTATGGCAAACATGTATAAAAGTTGAAGGTCTCAACAAAAAATTGATCATTATTTATAAATAAATTTTCTATTCTACAGGAAAATGGTCCCATTTCAAAAAAGTATGTCGCACGAAAAAATTATTTCAAAAATTTATAACATTATAAAGTTAAAAATTTTAAATATAAAATCGAGACTTTTCACACAAAAATAGCATTCAGTAACTATTTTCACCGTAAGGAAAAAATAAAGTCCGGAATTTTTTTTTCCATGATAAAGTATAATGAATTAGTTTTAATTTAAGATATATATATATAAGTGTTAGACTATCCGGAATACTTTCAAATGTTAAGTTGAAAAAGATTTCATTTTAAATCCCCCCTGTGGGCAAGTAAAGGGTCAGATTAAAAAAAAATATACCAAATGATAATTAAAGACATCTTGCTGCTATTAACAAAAATTACATCAATTTGGTCATTTTTAAAAGGATTATGGCAGTTCTAAATAAAAAAAATTGTAAAAATGTCAAAAATTAGCGATTTTTAAATTTGTAATTTTATTGGAGGTTTCCCCCATTTACGGGGAACAAGGGAAATTTTTTCAATTTTTGAGGATAATGTCTTCGACTAGATACGATTTGTGATCTTTTGACGTATCGTTGAAAGAAATCGGTTCCGTGAGAGCTGAGAAAAAGTTGTAACACACAAAAAAAAACACATCATAGTAAAATTAATATCTTCTCAGCTTTGCATCGAAGCTAAAAATGAAAGATAATCATAGTAATTTTTTAAGCATATTTTTTTTTAGTTTCGATGCGATTGAGGTTAAAAATTATTACTTTTAACATATTAAAAATCAATAATAATTTGAAAACAATTAATAATAAAATTATATAATATATAAGTAAAAGAATTACTAATCTGGATATAATTAAGGAAATAAGAGTTGATGTTGTTTTTGTAATTATCCACCAATTTCTTAGAATTAAAGACTATCTACAGATTTGCATCGAAGCATTCCTTATGATAGTGATTTTAATCACTGTCAGATTAAATCCATACTGGACCCAACAATGCCACGTCCTCGATGTGCTAGGTTTTTAAACGTAATCAATATATTTTTAGACAAATTTAAACTTAAAATTAATACAGACAGAAAGTATATGACGTCAATGTTTTTATTTACACATTTTATTAACACAATCCGATAATTTACTAAAGTAACTTTAAATATTTTTATGGAATACTTTTATTAAGACACCAAAAAATAATTTTTAATTAATTTAAGTGTGTTAAAAAGTTTTGGCAATCAGTAATTAAAATTAAATATAATCTATTTATTTATAAAATTAATTTAATTAGAAAACTATTGTAAATAAGGACAATTACAATCTCAGGTTGATTCACAATTTCTTGAAATATAATTGTAGTAATAAAGAATAAGGTTATATGTGTTGGGTATGTGGGTATTTTGACCAAGTTTGGATATTTGAGGACTTAGTTAATTCATGAGGTACGATATTCTATCGAGGTTATAGAGTCCGAGTGTTAAGACAATGAAGACAAGTAAATATAAATGAAATTATTAGAGAGTTCCTCTTATAGAGTTATTACACACTGAGGTATTTTTGTAAAGGTCAAGGTATTAGTCTCCTATCTGACACCTAGTCGAAGCGATAAATTAATTGATATGTGGTTTAGTGGGAATACTGAGGTATTTTTGGAGTAACGTAAACATCCTCTATGACACTCAGTCATAGTATATAGGTCATATACTATGACTAATATAGCGCTAAGTTATTAATAAGAAAATTAAATGATTTTTAAATAAATTTATTGCTTTATCGTTCTTTACCCATATTATTAATTCTAAATAATTGGGTTAATGTGAATTTACTTACTTCTTTTAGATGACTTACGTAAAAATCGTCGATAGTCAAAATATTAAGTACGAAACTCACTTTTGAATTTTGTTAATTTGCACACTCAAAAATTCTATATTATTTCTTTTTAATAAATAAATAAAGTTTCGATACAAAATAATTATATTTCAATATCGCATTAAAATTTACCGACAACAACACAAGTCGCGGCTAGTTTGAGAAAAATAAATTGGATAAAAGAATTATGAATTCTATATTGAATTCAGAACTTCAAAAATAGAAGAGTCGTCGTTTTTGAAATTCAGCGCCACTTTATATTATTTCTTTTTACTCTTATCTAAGGATGGCGTCGTCAGCTCTTTTAATAATTCTTATTTTATTGTAATAAATTGAACATAACATAATTATTATTTTAATATAGGTTACATAGTATACAATAATCAGTTTAATATATATATGATACGAAACATTAACATGTCAATTAAGTCAAATTAAAGGGAATGTCAAAATTAATACAAGTCCGCCAAAGAAAATCCTTAAAGTAGCAAAAGAAATGGCTAGAACTTCTGCTAAAAACTACAAACCTCCACCTATTACAGCATGTGGGGTTAATGATATTAAAAATTTCATGGAAAGTCTATCAATCTGGTCATGAGTCTAAGAATAAAAATAGTGATTGGACGATTATTCGTGTACCATTATTTTTTGTTGATTTAAAGCCCCAAGATAACAACAAAGACATATACCAGCTAAAAAAACAAATTATCAAAGTGGATCCAATAAAGAAAGCAAAAGGAATTAAACAATATAAGAACTCCCAATTATTTGGGTCATTTAAAGTCTGAAATCAGAATTTTTCAATCACCCCTTTTTGTTATTAGTACTAATTAGAAACACATGTAAAAATTAATTTAAAAAAAACATAATTTTTATCTAGTTATCATTCATTTTTAATATGTTTAAAAAAATCTGTTCAAAATTTCAATTGAAAATTACTTTTAGCTTCGATGCGAAGCTGAGAAGGTATTGGTTTTACTAAGATGTGTTTTTTTTTTTTTTTTTTTTTTTTTTTTTTTTTTCTTTTTTTT